AAACTGCGTTTTGCTCCAGCTGTATAAACACAGATGCTAAATGCTGCTGCTAATATGCTTAATATTTCGCTCCTGCATACAATGCAAACTGCTAACATGACACTTAGTTTAAACTTGATTATGGTTGCTCATTTTTGAATTCAATTAGGCAGACCACGCAATACACAGCAATATGGATTAGAAGAGCATTCACTTATCTTAGATGTTGATTTCGCTGTTCTGAAGCAAGCTGCAACTGCTACTGCAAGCACTAATCATATATTTGAATGTTGAGCAGCGAGCTCATTGGCTACCGATACTGGAGAGAACCAATCAGCTGTGCCATGTGATGATGTCATTAGGTCAGATTGAGTTAGACCTATCGGACTGCACCATCTAGAGTTTCCTGCCAGAACTCTGTATTTATTTAAATTAGAAATCTTTTGTAACATTATAAATGTCTTTAATGTCACTTTTGATCAATTTAACGCATCCCTGCTGAATAAAAGTATTAATTTCTTTCAAAAGAAAAAAAAAAAAAAACGTAACTTTTGAATGGCAGTGCAAACTTCAATTTATTTCTGTTTTATGTAAACGTTTAAGGAACTTTAAGTCAAAGAAAAATACTGTTCACAACCCATTACTTCTCTAATGTCACGCATCTCTGACTGAAACATGATATTTAAATTTTAAGAAATGTAGGGAGGGACTTGGTTTAATGCATCAGGAATTGATTAGATCACAAAAAGTGGTGTTGCATACCAGAATGAAGCCAGACTTGAATGCAAGTTTGCTAAAATGATGCCAAAACAGCTATTTGGCTATTGATTAACATAATCGAATAGCCAGCACGCCAAAAATGATGTCAGAAGAAAAGTTATATTTTGATGAAAGATTACAGAAGAAGTTTTTGAAATGCACTGAAGAACCGTTCAGAACCAGACTTCATGTTGTCTAGATTAAAGATTCAAAATCACACTGATACTCAGTTCAGCAATCAAAATGTAACCGACACTGATGACCTCATCAGAGATTTGCATATTAAATTGTGATTGGCCTTCTTTCTTAAATTTTTTTGCATTCTGAATTAAAACTGGTCTCACATAAAGAATGCAAAACCTACAACCTAAACATTATTCTTGCAAGCACTGCTACTTTTTTTCAGCAAATGCAAATCTAGTTTCTTCCTCACACTCTTTCTTTCCCCTTTTCCACTATTGTACTTAAAAACAGAACGTGACTTGTACGTCAGCCCTATTTTTCTCCTTTTTGCTCTTCGGTTTGCTTGATGCAGCTCCAAGTGTTTTACGATCCACGGTGGAGCCGCGCACAAAAGAGCGATTACCTCCAGAACGCGGCACCAGTTACGAGCGTCCAAAACAAAAACGCACACCTTAGACCATCGCTCACAAATTGCACGCTGTTCTGCGCTGGAAATAACCGGAGAACTTTGAATTATTACATCATGTTTTAAACACACACACACAAGCTCTCTGGCGGGCTGTCAGGAGTTGAGAAATGACACTCGGAGAGAAACGGCGTCACAGGAGAGTGAGAGGAAAGCTTGTTCCTGCCAAAACACAAACAGGATTATTGTGGTGCATTGTGGGTTTGGATGGTGACTGCGCTTGCATTGAGTCCGATCATCTCTGGACTACAACTTGTTTGTTCACAATAGGAGATGCACGACTACTAGTTAGTAACAGACACTTATATCAGTGAAAGTAAGACTGGATGGCGAATGATGAGTTATTGATATCAGTTAAACACTGACCTGCTGACTACTTTTCTGAACGACTAGTTGACTATGGAGACATGGAGGGAGAAAGTGAGAGATGTAAAGGCTTACGGGGGGTTGTCACATTTCCTCTGTCTGAAGCACGCTCCTGTGCCACATGTTCGGCTGCACATGCTCCACGTGCTCCATGGACTCCAGTCTCCATCCACATGCTGCGGGATGGGTGTTTTACTGACGCACTCACCCGCCCTGCACCACTGATAAAGACACACACATAAGTGTTAATCCAGCTAAATGAAGACAAACCACTGGTTTATATTGCTTTCATATGAAGTTGATTACAGGCAGTGCTGCTGTATTGACACTCTGCAAACATTATAGGGTTTGTTCCCAACCACTAGCCTCATTTATTAAACTGCTGCAATTATGAATTTTATGTTTTAAGAAATCCACGTTGATAATCCCCCATTGATTTACACTACATTTTTTTAATGCTTTTAAAAAAGAAGTATCTTCTGTTCACCAAGGCTGCATTTATTTGATCAAACATTCAGTAAAACAGTAATATTGTGAAATATTATTGACGTTAAAATAACAGTTTTCTATTTGAATATACAGCATGTTAAAATGTAATTTATTGCTATGATCAAAGCTGAATTTTCAGCATCATTACTCCAGTCATCAGTGTCACACGATCCTTCAGAATTCATTCTGATATGCAGATTTGCTGCTCAAGAAACATTTCTGATTATTATCAATGTTGAAAACAGTTGTGCTGCTTCATATTTTTGTGGAAACTATGATACATTTATATAATTTTTCAGGATTCTTTTGTGAATAGAAAAAACAACATTTATATGAAAATTGTATATTTTGTAGCATTATAAATGTGTTTACTGTCAGTTTTGTTCAATTTAATGGGTCTCTGCTGAATGAAAGTATTAAATAATTTATTTTAATGTTAACTGTTGAAAACAGTTGTGTTCCTTCATATTTTTTTACGGAAATATATATGATTTTTATGTAACGCTTCCTTGCTAAATAAAAGTATTAATTTCCTTTAAAAGTATAAAAAAACTTTTGATTGGTAGTGAACATCATTACAATATTTTAAATAATAAGTCTAAAGTCTTTTTTCTTAAATGTATTTGCATATTTTTTTGCATTTTAACACCCTGTACAAATCAGCAGCTTTCTGTCATAGTAAATGAAACTTTCAGTAGCACTTTCAGTCTGATATTTTGATTTGCTCCACAGCCAAGTCAGCCGCTTTATTCCCCGTCTGTCAAAATGATTTTACCTATAGTATTGGCTGTTTTTAAATTAAAGGTATAATTTCCTTAATATTAACCCCTTGGGGTCCGAGGATGTTTTGGGGCCCTGGAGAAGTTTTAACATGCCCTGACATTTGTGCTTTTTTCAGTTGCTTATAAACATATTAATGGCTAAAGTTTAATAACACTGTAATCATAAATGGTTACCTTGTCGGCTCCACATTCAGTGCCGTCCAGCGGTGGATCTAGTTTGGTTTTACATGACTTGTCGCCTTCCACCAAACACCAGAGACCAGCACACATCAGGTGCTGAAAACACAGACAGTTTACATTCATGTGGACAGTATAAAAACAATGTGATAATTTTTGTTTCATTCTTATTTGATTTTATAGTTATAAAAGAGTATTTAGGACCCAAACATGCATTACCTGACTGAAAAACACACACTATACAGAATTATCCCACAGTAAAGAAAAAGCACAAATTAAAGGGGTCATATGATGCTGCTAAAAAGAACATTATTTTGTGTATTTGGTGTAATGAAATGTGTTTATGCGGTTTAAAGTTAAAAAAACACATTATTTTCCACATACTGTACATTATTGTTTCTCCTGTATGCCCCGCCTTCTGAAACGCGTCGATTTTTACAAAGCTCATCGGTCTAAAAAAGCGAGGTGTGCTGTGATTGGCCACCTATCCAATGCGTTGTGATTGGCCGAATACCTCAAGCATGAGACAGAAATGTTACGCCCCTCACATACTGTTGATGCCGTGTCCGGCCGGAGCGACGAGGCAAAAACATTAAAACCCATTACAAACGAGGCATTTGTTGCATCCAGTGGGGACATAATTACAGATTATAATGACTTATACTGTCTTTTTACGCATTGCGTTGCATCGCGCCACGTAAACAAAACCATGTCTGCATTTGTGATCAGAGAAATGACAAACAACAAGTGCTAACGTTAATCCACACTGCCCAAAACTCGCGTTTGAATCATCAGTAGCAAATCCTTTAAAT